ACTACTACTACTATTATTTTTATTACTACTCATGTTATGGCTACTGCTGTTAGTACTATCATTACTACTACTATCACTGCTATTATTACTACTACTACTACTACTGCTACTGAGGTCGGCCTGCTTGTCTGGATGCTGTGGGCATGCGTGAGAACGGAGCAGTGGTCTACGCCGAAGCCATGCAGACAAGCCAGTCTGCAAGCTTGCGCTGGCTTCTTTCGGCGGGCGAGACCTTCGAGCAGTTCTATGCTCGTTTTCAGCTGCTCCTAACGCCCACAGCTCCGACGGTGCCACAGCCGTGTTGCCCCACGGTGTTTCTCGCAGAGGAAGACTCGCTGCATGAGGTCGGGGTTGCACATCCATGGCAGTAGCAGTGCCGCACATATAATCAAGTGGCAGGCGACGGATCTGGACTTCCGCGCTGGGCAGGTGGGATGTTTCTTGGAGACTAGCATGTGGTCCCCGGTAAACATTATGTTAAGCCAATGAGTATATCGTGCGTGGTGTGCTGGAATCTTCCGTGAGATCGTTTGTGTGTTATTCGGCCATTGCTCGGTTGTTTTGAATGTGTCTGAACATGATTAATACAACACCTTCAGAATCGGATTATGTGGTCTTCTACGGAGCGTAAGCTTGGGTTCAGGCCGAAATCAATCCTGACATAGCCGTTGCAGCTGGACTGTGGCAGCCAGAGGAGTTGGTGCAGCAGGAGGCCCGTAAAAGCTCGGTTCAGTGTCGTTCAGCGTTGTAGAAAACCGGGCTGTCTGACATCGAGTATGGTCCCTCTGGTTCATGGCTGTGCCTGTGGGTGTCGAGTCTTGTCCTTCAGGATGGGTATGTCATCTATCCCAGCAAGCAGTTCCGCGGCTTCCTGTCTGACGGATCGGCAGGACAGACGGCATTCGTCCCTTGCCCAGTCTTGGATGCGTTGCAGCTTCTCTTGTGCATGCTGTTGTGTGTGAGGTCAAGGGCATGCTCCTCTTGAATCGCGCAGTTGCTGGCATCCTCATGCCCCACGACTGCGTGAAACTGCGGTCATCCAACAGCAAGGACGAGCTCGCTCTCGGCTTTGATCTGGGCGCTTCCTCCGGAAGGTGCATGCGCAAACCAGGCATCCGGTCGTTGCATGTGCTTGTAGAAGGTAAGCCGGTTGGATGCAACTGCATTCCGTAGGACTATCACCGACGCTGGCGTGTGTCCTCCTACAGCGTATCGCCAGCGTCGCTGACCGTGGTCGAAGGGAGGAGTTGCTCGCCCAGTGGGAGGCAAACTCGCTGTTCTGCATGCGTAGAGGGATGCATCCAAGGCTCTGTGTTCGCATAAACTTCTTATAGGCACTGCTGGCTGCCTGCAAGCGGCACATGCTGGACGCGCTGCCGTCGTTTGCGTTCGGACAGGACTGCCTGATCTGTCTGAATGCATCTGTGTGTCCGGTTCTAGTGCAATCTCGTGACCGTGGCCACGGCACACAGTCAGTGTAGCATTGTAAAGCCAGTTGATCAGAGACAAACGGGGTCCAGAAGCATAAACAAGGTGAACAAGGAGTGAATCGGATGTCTAATAAAGTTGAATCTTCGAACGAGCTCAAGCCGCAAGGTTCTTGAAAATGTAACGGCCATGCAACTATTTGAATCGGTGTGTGAAGGTTAACCAAGAAGTTATCTATTGTCAAGCCCTGGAGCTGGAGTGGAGGGTCTCTTCGAGTTGGTTATCTTTAAGCTCATACACCAGTTGTCTTCAGTCTTGCACTGATGTATGCAATACTGTTATGTGACGTTCAACGGTCTTATGTTCTCTTTTCTTCAGTTCTTCGAACGCAGACTCTCTGAAGCAACTGGTGTGAATCTTCCGTCTGGAGTGGCCGTTAGTGGATTCATGGGCATGCTTTGTGGCAAACATCCGAAGTGATACTGCTCGGGTCGCTGCCAGGATCGGCCGGAGGATCAAGACGGCAAAGACTGGGCTCGGCGCAGGGTACCCGTGGAAAAGGTTTGCTTGCGGGTGCAGGCTCGATGTCGTCAGCTGGTTGGATGCCGAGTTGTCTCCATCTGAAAGTGTATATTTGTGCTGCTTGCGAGGATGATGCCGGTGTGCAGAGCACTCCAATGGCTGCTCTGACAAGACAGACGGAAGAAGCTCGCCCTTTCGACATCCGCCGAGGCATGAATTCTTGAATGTCCCTTCGAACGCTTTTGTGACGATGCTTCATCAGAGAGGGGAGGTTTGTGTCAGTATCTCGAGTCCAGGCTTTCGTTTTCTGTGGTGTTTGCTGGGGCGAAGTCTTCAGCGATAACCTGTGTCGTGGAGGGGGGGGATAAGTTCCTTTGTTTGTTCAGAATCTAACTCTCTGTGTTCAAGTCTTATCTAAGGCAAGAACTTGAGTAGTCGTGGACAGAACGGGGGAGGGGGGAGGGGGAGTTGTGCCCTAGCATTTCTGATTCCACTCGGGTGTAATCCGAATTGGAATTGATGATGTGAAGTGGTGTGACCCGGTCGGTTGTGTGATACTCTTGTTCTGTGTTTTGCACGTGGCAGGGACCAAGAGGGCGCTTGCAGCCGGTATGGGGCGCTACCGCCGTGTCTGCAATCGCCACAAGAGGAAAGGGGAGTTGATGATGTCGCACCCCCAGTTGTATAGCAGGAGTTATGTCTTGCGTGTCGCATTCCTGATAGTTGTCCGAAGCAGTAATGGTTTGTTTCAGGCCCGACAAGGGAGGAACGGTCTTCGCGGCTGTCGATCCGACAGGGGAGCTTCCCGCAGGCAGGTTTTCTGGAAACCGGCATCTGGACCATCGAGACTCCATGTTGACAGATGTTGCTGCACCATAGGATGTTGCTACCTGATCATCGACGGGAAGGTCTACGGCAACGGCAAGCGCGTCGCCGCTGCTCGATCTTTAATCAGTGTATGACAACAACTTCGTGGGTTCTATTTGAGACCGACATTGGAACACAGTAAGGTATGGAGGTACCCGGCACAGTGTGCACAGGATGCGACCACTGTGACTGTGGTCACCCCACCTCCGGGCGCGATGCTCCCCAACAATACCCTGCTGTACTCGCGGCACGGGGACATGAACTCCAAGCTCGCAGGCGGCGATGTTGACGGTGACCTCTGCCAGGCCGACTGGCCAGCTTGTCCTTGTGTGCCGTGGTGTGAAGGTGGATATGTTGTATACTCGTGACATGTAAACTGCAAGGTGTCCTTTTGGGATGGGCTGGTGGAATTGCTGCGGCAAACCGAGGCCGACGTTGAGGCGGGTCGTGTGTGATGGCCTGGCGTGTGCCGCAACATATGTTGGTTTCCATGGTGCAAGATCGTTGCATGCTTTTGCAGGCGCAGGAGTTGAAGCGAGTCGAGGAGGAAGCGCTATCACGAATTCCCAAAAGGAGAACGNNGATTGGAGAGGGACGCCGTCTGTTGACTGCAAGTCGGTATAGCATGAGAAAGAGGCAGTGTGGCGAGAACGTTCGTGTTGCAATCATGAAATATCCAAGGCATTAAGTACACGCAGAAGGGGCTCAACACGGCAACGCCATGTCTGCGTGGTAAAGCCTGCTCACTTGCTGAGCGTGCCTGCGCCTCTATGCTGAAGGCACTTTTTACAGGACCAAAAAGGGGTTTTGACAGCTATGTGACGATCTCTCTGATCGCAGTCGTAACGCGAGCCTGCCACGTGTACTGTAGCTCCTTGAAGTGAGGAGCACCGGAGGAAGAGTTGCAGAAGTCCCTCCGAGCAGTGCACACTCTGGCCTGCATGGCACATCGAGTGACTCGGTGCGACAACTGGTCGAGAATTTGTTCCTGAATTTTCATGCATGTAGGATCTGCAGCTGTTTGATAATCTGCTTCAGAATGCAGGCCATGGACGCGCCCAAGAAGTTCTCCACGAGGGAGTTCTGGCGCACTATGCGGGCAGTTGCCGTGGAGCTGGGGGTCCGGCAGGACATCGGTTGAAAAGTTGTTATCCTTCTGGCGTCTCAGCTAGCCGCGTGTCAGGACGGCATCCGATCGTCGCAAGTGCTGCACCGACGACTGGCCGTCTCCAGCATCGCCGACGTACCCGACAAGTCCAACGTCCTGCTGCAGAAACTAGTGGCGTGGCGTTGAAATCCGGGTTATGCCGCTATATTAGTGTGCAGGTTTGCTGTGATTTTCCTGTTGTTCTCCAGTCTACCGTGCATATATGTATATATATATATATGCTACCACCCCACCCCCCCACTAGGACCAACCTTTTAATGTTCAAATGCAATCGAACAAGCAACAATATATTGAGTAACAAAAAAAAACAAAAATCAGTCCATCCTCGTGGGGGGG